ATTGTCGCTCGCTGGCCAGGTTCCACGCATGACCAGACAATATTTAATAATTCACGAGTGAAAAGGGACTTTGAAAATGGACAATATGGAAGATGCAAATTAATAGGAGATAGTGGATACTCAATCCAACCATACCTAATGACCAAGCTTCAAGAAGTAAACACACCTCCAGAAAATTTGTATAATGAAAGCATAATTCATTCAAGAAATGTTGTCGAAAGGCAATATGGTGTTTGGAAACGTCGATTTCCAGTATTATCAACAGGAATTAGATTGAAATTAGAAACAGCTATGTCGGTGATTGTGGCAACTGCGGTTATTCACAATATAGCTGTCGAAATGAATGATGATTTCCCAGATGACTGGTTTGATGATCCGATTGCGGAAGATGGAGATGGAATTTTTTTAGGAGAACGTGACGAAGATGCTGTACGTCCTGGTGCGAACATGAGAAGATATGTTAGACAACTCATTATAAATGAACATTTTAATAGATTATAGTATAAATAAAATGGTAATGTTCTGTCAGATATACTTTTATTACAAAATAATAGGTATTAATTTATATTTCCTTCAAACACTTATTTATTTATTTATTTCAATCACTGTCTAAACTCTTTTGGGCTTTTGTGATTTGTAAATCCAATAATTTCATTCGTTTTGCATGTTCTTCTTGTTCCCTTTCTTCTTTATTGTTGGCAATAACTTGATTTTTTTCAAACCTTATCACCTCTTCGTTTGCTTTCCGTTCAATATTTTCGATGATCACTTGCGTCAGCTCTGATTTCTTTTTGTAGTATTCGTCTTTAGCTGTAAAAATTGGATTGGAAACTTTTGGTCTGAGCCTTTTATTCAGAGGTTCTTTTAACATTTTTGTTGTATAATTATTCCACTACAAAAAAAAAGTAGAAACAAATTGAAATTTGAAATGCTGCCTATCAATAGATTTCATTTCATTGCATAAATGAGTTAACATACCGTGCGTTCGTTATTTTGGTCTGAGTTCTCCGAGCTTGACTTTACCGTTCGTTTATTTAAAAAGTGTACTCGGTGCAGCCTCATTCGCGTTCGTTTAATAAAATTTCTGGCACTTTTATAAAGCGTTCAACTGCTCTGTTCGCTCGCTGGTCACGTGATTACGGCTCCGCTCAGCACGCTCTGCTCTATGAGCAAAATACCGAACGCAAGGACAGTATCATTCTCACTTGTAGATTTTTTTCCTTCAGGTTGGTGGCTGGGTGAATTTCTTTACTAACAGCTGCTTTCACTTTCTTTAATAATGGGGAGATTTCTACAGGATCTGAAGGCTTGGCGTCCTGCACATATTTATTATATTAAATTAGTGAATTTTATACTTTCTAATTATTATAATATGATGTGTTCCTACCTCATAAAAAATGCTAATAGCTTCATTCCCATTCACATCCAAGGATGTTACATCAGCCGAGTTCGTTTTTGTCATCTTTTTCGTCGATTTGCTCAGAAATTTTGACAGGCACGTGATTTGTAAATTGAAACTATCTTATCCAGTCACGTGTCTGTCAAAATTTCGGACCAAATCGACGAAAAAGATGACAAAATCGAACTCGGCCATCGAAGGATGTTGGTGCCACCCTACTTCTACTTGACTGCTCACATTCTATCTCATTTTGTATTGTGATTGATGTGTCCTGAACAGAAAGTTAAACACTAAAAATGCACCTGCAAAATAACCTGCTTGCTTATACATACCATCATCGCAGATTGGAACCAGACCACAAACAGTTTTATAATTAATAATATTTATAACGGCTTCCAGAACAGGATCAGAATATAATTTTGTTCCTGGTTCACCTCCAGTGCCTTTAACATCAAATTTTTTATCCGCTACCCACTTTCGTGCTTTAGTCTTAAGATTGTCGTATTTTGATTTTAGTTGATCCAACGTTCTTGGGTATAAGTTATTCGAATTAAATCCGGTTAATACTTTTCTCCAAGCTTCGTTCTAGAGGAAATTAACCTTTTCATGGTACCTAATTCATAGCTATTTTTTCAAGTGGAGATTATATAATACCTACCTTTTCACTGCTAGAAACATTATTGGTCTTCTTGTTTTCCAACACATTCTTATGTTTCCCAATTTCATCCAACAAAAGAAGTTCCTCCTCTGTGGAGAAATTATTACCCCTTTTTGATTTATTATTACTGGTCATAGCAAAAACAGAAATGAAAATGAAATAATAAACAGATAACACTTTGATCACTTTAATTACCACTTGACACCACTCGAAAAAAATGAGTGATAAACATAAAGCTAACCTTAAAAATTGTGGAATTTTGCTTTTCTATCAATTTTCGGTAGTGGCTATAGTATCGATTATACTTTAGTTAAAAGTTCAGATGGATCTGATTATGAAACACCTCAACTTTAGATCTCTTTAAAGTGGACTTGAAGTGAAACTTTATCTTTAGTTAAAGTACATTTTAAAGTTTGATTATGAAACTGGCTGTAAAGTTTCGTAGTTTTCCCTCAAAAGGAAACGATTTATGTAATATACAATGCTACACAAGAAATTATAGTTTTAATAAAAGTTATTGAATTTTCAATTGATTATTTCCTGACATACTGTTGAATGTACTAACCCTAAACCATTGCAAAACAAGTAACTAACCCCAAAGTAAGAACAACCTGTAATGGTGATTTTAAACCGTTACACTAGATCCAGAACTGTGGTATGAGATGCATGTCCCAACTGTTCCAATATTTCGTCAATATTTGGAATTGGCAGAACTTGGCCTACAGTGACATCATCAAGGCGTCTGAAATCGACGACAATCCGCCATTTGCGATGTCCTGATGAATCAATTTTTTTAGGTACCACCCACAGTGGTGCATTAGATGGGAAAACAATGGTTGAATCTTCTGTTTCAACATTTTTTCAATGTGGTTTGAAATTTCAGATTCATGACATTTTGGATGTCTATAAATTTTGGAATGAATTGGGGTATTAGTAGTCGTATTTATTCCATTGACATTGAATCGCTTGAGTGAATGTCAAGTCATCATTTGGTACCTAAATGAAAAATATTGTTGAATTCTCGGCAACGATTCCAAACTGACAATTTTTTTCCAGAATTAAGATGTTCTAACCTTAAATTATTTTCTAACGTTGAAATGCGATCAACCATGTGAGAATCAGATGTTTCTGATTACGTAGCATTAAAAATAAAATAGTGATCTTCGTAGATTTTCTCGAGTTCCACGTTGATAAAGTTTACTTGCACGGCTTTTCATAAAGTGTTTACGATTGTAGTTACAGCAACAACTAGAGATATCGTCGTTTGAGTGGAGGATGAACCGTTGCAAAACTATTTTCTTTATCATAGCGATTCTACTTACTGATTCATTGTGATTTTGGAAAGAAGAGGCATTTAGAGCCAGTGTTTGTAGGGTTTCTATACGATCAAAATAAGTTTGCACTGATTCCATTTTACTTTGTTTTAGTGTTGTATGTGCATCTCTTCAAGAGTGTCAAAGTCACGAATTTTGCTCATATTGAAAAACCATACAAATTCAAATAGGTATAGCGCCTCCTATGCAAGGAACACCAGCGCCCTCGGTATGGAACCGAGGTCGACAAAAAGGTACGAAAAACACTCGATTCGTACAGCCAAGCGACTGCGAAAACACTCTCTCTCTTTTCGCCAAACACGAACACACATTTTTTAATCCGTTTTCGCGCACAAAAAAGTCGATGAATTCGCGAGCTCGCCGGTTACCGGTTTCGAAATAAAAGCCGGCGGTGTTGTGCAACCGAAACAAGACCTGGGATCCCGGTATTAACAATTAACTTAGAACTAGAAGAACCCCAGAACCACTGGTAAGGCGCCTTATATCATATTGTCTTTTGTATGGTTATTTTTTTGCTACATACTTATTCATTAGTTGCGCTTACAGTCCACGTAACACCGAAGGTGATTCTAAAACATCAGATCTCGTCGATCACCAAAAATAACTAAAGAAATAGATTCGGGAATGATGCAAGCAAGGCGATTTACTTATTCCGTTCAAATGGTAACATGATTGTGGAAAAAATATTTGGAAACATACTTAAAATAGCGGGGTACAAAATGGACAAATGACGTTGATGATGTGATGCTGTTGGACGAGAACAATTGGTGTATATCAGAAAACACACAATCGACGACAATAAGAATAGAATAGAAAATAATCATTCTCGGTATCTAGTGAACGCCTATGGTGATGATGATGACTTATTGCCCACTCAGAAGCCGACGTACACAGACTAATCCACTAACAAACCTGTTAAATATGATCAACATAGACAAAGCCAAATATCTAGTAACATCCAGAAAGTCAACAAGATGTGAATTGGAGATTGATCAGAAAATCAATAATTATTCGGGAGCTGGAATAATAAACTCTGGAAAGCTGCGGAACCATGTCAGACAACTAACGAAGAGAGCACCGGGAATCTTAAGACATATCTCATGGAGGAACAAATATCCCAGAACAGTCTAATTGCTGTCTTATTCATCATAGCATACGCAGCTGGGGTCGGAAATATGACACTTCTCCTTGCCGTTGATTTTCGTTTTTCTTTACCTAAAGGCGGGTTTTCCTAGCCAGCGTATCTATAACCCAGCGTAAACTGAATAGAGAATTTCAAGTCGGAAGGAGCGTATTTTTTATTACGCTGCGTATTTCAATTTTTCTAGGGAACGTACACTAATCAGTGTATCGGGCATCTTTAATTGATTGACTTGTCCCATGAGGAGTTCTAACACGGAGAGTTTAGCTTTTCTTGTATCGAATTTCCTCTATTCAGGACGTTAGTTTCATTCATCACTTCAAGGGTTTAGGTGTAATTACTTTATTTAAAATCACATCAAAATTCTTCAAATGCCTGAATTAAGAACAATAGTCCTATCCGAAAAGCTCGTGAGTGTCTTCTGCAAATAAAGTAAATCATTCTAAAATTATCATTATTGGTCCTAGGATGTTTGAAAATCAACTAGAAAAAGGCTACTTTATGTTCTCAAGCGGCTACATTCTCTTCAAGACCGGAACAGTTTCCCTCTACGCCGCTTCAATAAACGATGCAAGCAAATCCCCAGCAATTTACCTCAACAACGTTCCATCCAAATATTATAATAACGAAATTAGAAGATTACTAATACAAATCAGTTTCGATAATGTAGTTTTGAGCGGTTGTAAAATGTTTACAATCACCAGAGGACTTTTGTTAAATGTAAGAATGTGACAATTGAATAATTTGGAAAAATTAGTGGATATGTATTTTCAGATTGCTTCTGCAATAGTGGCCTATGAACTGTTACTTCTTCAATTAACTTCTATGTTATTAGAGGATGATAAAGAAAATAGAAATAGAGAAATTGATGGTCCACAACTATAGGAATTATTCTTAAGTAATATGTAGGCAGTAACTTTCATCTATAGTTTATTAATCAGATAATTATTGTTCATTCTGTTGTGAACGAATATTGATGTGAATTGATGAAAACTGTACCCACATTAGCAGTTTTGTTCGCACTTCTGAAGTCAAAAATAAATAAAACAAACACATTCTTGAGATAAATATTAATTTATAATTCAAATCTACATTTTCCAGAGCGTCGGCAGAGTCTTGTCTCTATTAGTAAAGTCAAAATTTGATGTTACCTTCGCCAATGTTCTTCAAAATGTCCATATTTTTCAGCATATTCATTGACAGAAAAATAGATAACATAGGTACATTCTCACAAACACCTACACGGTGAACCATTAATTAATATGTTAGGAACGATTTCATAAATATTTACTAAACTGTTCTTCATATGTTATTTATTAAAACATGTTTGTTTATCGTAGGTAAGTTATATTAACCAATTGCCATGCTGATTTATAATCAATTATCTATTTTTTATATACTTTAATGTGCTTACCCCTTTCCTCTAGGACTTTTTAAATACATTGTTGTAAAGTGAACATCAAATTGCTATGTCGGCATTAAATGTTTATTTAAGCCGATGCCGTCCCATAAGGAACGTTCATTTGTTTTCTGGCTTTAGCCTGTAGCAATTTGATCCGAATATTTTCTTTTGTCACCTCTGTATTTTAATCAATAAAATACAAGTTTCTGAATCGAAAATATAATTGGCGCAGTCGTTCGGATGCTCAGAGTGCTTAAGTTTCGGGAGTTGTAACAGTCGTAATCCGTCGCGAAAATTTCAAAAGACTGAAGGAAGTTCGAAAAAGTGAATTCTTCGGAAAAGTGAAATTTGGATTATCAGTGCTGCTATTAAACGTTCCAGATACTGTCCACTTCGAATTGGTTAACTGAGTAAAAGGAATAACAAGAAACAACGTGTGAAGAAAGACTACTGTTATTAGCTTTGTCTAGTAAGTACAACCTTTCTCTTTATACATTTTGTAATTGGTGTTCCATAGTTAAGATTTTTGGATTTTTGATCTTTTGTAATTTCTAATTTTTGATTTACTGAGAAGACTTAAATTCAGATTTTTGTTCTTTTGCAATTCCAAAACGGTTTGCTGAAAAGACTGAAATCAAATATAAAGAGTAACAACGAATTTACAAACCCAAAGTAACAAATAGTTTTTAGAAAAAGCAACGCACAAGACTGAATAATTAATTATAATTTTAATTTTAAAACAAAAATAAAACTTTTTAATTTTGAATTTTTTTAATTTTCAAAATAATCTCTTTTAAAAATTCAAAGAAATATATATGTCAGATTCTGAAGAAGAAATCGAGAATCTTTTGACTCAACCAAAATCAAAGATCAACCGTAACAATGAGTGAAAATTTAAAATCAATTGTACAACTTATAAAACCTTTCAGTGGCGAAAGCCAATATTTAGAATATTTCATAAGAAACATAAATGAATTTTACCAAACTTACTATACTGGTGAAAATGCTCAAAAAGAGTATATGGTTATAAAATCAAAATTAATAAATGACGCAGGAAATTTTCTTATGGCACGTCCTGATTTACAAACATGGACTGATATAAGAGAAGCGTTAAGAATTAAGTATGGTGATCAATATTCTAGACAGAATTTGGTACAAGAGCTTATGTACACCACTAAAACTAATAAAGAAACTATTATTGAGTATTTGGATAAACTAAAAGGTTTAGTTCAAAGAATTACATCTAAAATCATGTGCGACCCAAATTTAACGGTAGTTGCAAATGTTTTAATTGAACAAAACGAAATTATTGCTATTCAAAATCTAGTCACTAATTCACCAACCGAATTAAGAACAATTTTAATGGTTCAAAATTCACAAACGTTGGATGCAGCTAACAAATTTGTGTTAAATTATCAACTAGCTGAAAACCGCATGAAATTTAGTAGAGGACTTACTCATTCTACTAATCAAAATCAAAATTTTTGAAATTTCAAAAATAAAAATACGCAATTTCGTTCACAACAATCACAACAAACCTATACTCAACAAAAACCTCAATATACACAAAAAACATCGTATGTACCACAGAAACCACAGTTTCCATCCCACCCTATTAATATACAACCTGAAAAGGACTAGTCCCCAGTACATCTACCTTAAAATTTTGTAACTCATGTACACGCCCAACTTTCTGAGCGGCTTCATAACACCAAGTCGGACAATATTTTTCATGTCTCCACCCTGGGCGATGGGACATTGCTGCGCTAGCTCTTCATGAAGTTGTCGTTCTGACGTCCCTTAAGAAGTTGATACATGTACGTGTAATTTTTATGCCAATCGACTGTTTTTTATGTTACATTAACGATATCACATTTGTCGGACAAAAACCATGTGGCTTTGGGGAAGGTCCGACATCCCCAACATGTCGCTGTGGCGTCCCTGAGGAAGTTGATACATGTACGTGTGGTTTTAATGCCAATCGACTGTTTTTTGTATTACATTAACGATATCATATATGTCGGACAAAAATCACGTGGCTTCGGGGGGGTCCGACGCTCTCAACATGTCGCTGTGGCGTCCCTAAGGAAGTTGATACATGTACGTGTGTTTTTAATACCAATCGACAGTTTTTTACATTACATTAACAATATCACATTTGTCGGACAAGAAATTTGAGACAATCAATGAAAAAATTAAAATTAGTTTGCCTTAACGCAACGTGCATATTAGTCAGTTTATTATTTACCTGCTTTGTCAAATACCTGTGGGGCTCTGTATCATATTCCCTGATCTGTTTTTTTGATAGTTCTCCGAGTATTTACGGAAATTATTTAGTGAACGGTCATTCAAAACCACGCGTGTGAGAAAGAATGGATTTTCAGTCGTGTTTTTTGTGAAATCTCAGGAGTGAAGATCCTGAATTACGGCAGAAATTGATCAAAAGGACTTTTGTTGTCCGACTGACTTTAATACTCATTTTATTTGTCCGACATTTACTACACATGTTTTAAAATTACAGTGTTATTCATAATTATTTTTGTCGGACATACATGTATCAACTTCCTCAGGGACGCCACAGCGACATGTTGTGGGCGTCGGACCTTCCCCAAAGCCACATGGTTTTTGTCCGACAAAGGTGATATCGTTAATGTAATATAAAAAACAGTCGATTGGCATTGAAACTACACGTACATGTATCAACTTCCTTAGGGACGTCAGAACGACAACTTCACGAAGGGCTAGCGCTGCAATGTCCCATCACCCAGGGTGGAGATATGAAAAATATTGTCCGACTTGGTGTTATAAAGCCGCTCAGGAAGTTTGGCGTGTACATGAGTTACAAAATTTTAGGGTCGATGTACTGGGGACTAGACTATGTACCAACAAAATTTCCTACTAGTTCAGGAACTTTTGGCAAAAACTACAATAATGCCTTTCGAAAAAACACTAATCAACAATTTTCGAAACCCACACCTATGTCCGGTGTTTCAGTGCAACCAAAAGCACAAAATCAACATCAATACCCTTCTAAATATACAATCGAAGAAATTAATAATATCTTTGAAATCGAATTGCCTGAACCTGATGAAAATTTCGAAAATGACGAATGTTCTGAAAATCAAAACTATTATGAAGAGACAAATTTTGAAGAAAATCAAGTCGCAACTGAAGACGAAAATTTTCAGTTACAAGCCTTGGATGCAATGAGTCAGCATTAACTTTAAATGCTTATCAAATCAACCAACTGCCTTTTATTCAAATAGACTATCCACCGTGTAAATTATTAATTGACACAGGAAGTCATGCCTCTTTAATAAGACCCTCAATAGCAGAAGAATATTTTTCAAATTCTATAATTAATTCACGAAATAAATTAACCACTTGCATGGGTACAAGAAAAACGTATGGAAAAATCAATATCCCAATTTTACAAGAATATAATATTCAAAACAACATTGAAATGAAATACAATACAATTTCCATGACTATTTTGATGGAATTATTGGAATCAAAGCATTACAAGAAAATAATTTAAATATAGATTTTTCTAATATGTTTCTTTCTAATACTAAAACAACAATTTCGTTTCAATATAGAACAGATTTCGAAAATCAAAATTTTAAGATTCCAAGCAACTCAATTCAAGTATGTTATTTCAATACAAATATAGCTGATGGCATTGAAATACTTACACCACCGATAAAAAATGCAACGTATTATATACCATCGACAATAGCCACAGTCATAAACGAGACCGTAGCTCTAGAAGTACATAATTTAATAAATAAGCCTATTATTGTCCCATATAACATAAACAACTTAGCGGAAATAAGTTTACCGTACGCTGACGAACAGTTTGAGATATTTAATATAGAGCAAATGACTTTATTAGAAAATGCTGAATATGCAAATGGCCCCATTAAGTCGTTGCGTATTAATCATTTAAACTCAGAGGAATTTGATGCTTTAAAACACGTAATTAAATCTTTTCCTAAAATTTTCCACAAGCCAAATGAAAAATTGACATTTACCAATCAAGTCAAACATGAGATTAAAACAACGGATGAAATACCAGTGCACACAAAAACGTATAGATACCCACATGTGCATAAACAAGAAGTAAATTCTCAAATAAAGAAAATGTTAGAAGATAACATAATCAGACCATCCTGTAGCCCTTGGTCATCCCCTGTGTGGATAGTACCTAAGAAAGAAGATGCCGCAGGCATACAAAAATGGAGAATGGTCGTTGATTATCGAAAGATAAACGAAAAAACTATTGATGATAGATATCCATTACCTAATATTACGGATATATTAGACCGACTTGGTCGTAGTAATTATTTTACGACACTAGATCTAGCCTCTGGCTTTCATCAAGTCGAGATGCATGAAAATTCGATACCCAAAACAGCATTTAATGTTGAATATGGTCATTACGAATTTAACAGAATGCCCTTTGGTTTGAAAAACGCCCCCG